AGCGATTTAGCTAAGGAGGCTGCAAATGATAAATCTTTAATGGAAATAGAGATTCCTGGCTCTAAGAGGATTACATGGACTGTCCTAGAAGATATAGTAATTAATAGTCGGAGCAATATATGGAATAATTCGGACAGAAACAAGGAATTTTTCAGATTTTTTAAAATAAAAGGGAGAATGTGGCTTATTAATGATACTGATTTCAGTTGACTACAGGACATGGTCATTTCCTGTTTTATTTGCACAGATTTTGTATTCAGAAAAATCAGAATTGTCTTTTTTGCAAAACATATTAGGAGGTAATGAACATTTTTTGTGTGCATGTGGTCTAACTTTTTCATTCCATCAAGATTTTAGGATCACTTCTACGGAAGATTTAAATGAAGGGAAGAATTAAAAAACTGCTTGAGAGATCATGAAAATTATTAATTCAAATAGAGAAAGAATTGGAATTGTGCCTTGAGTTCAACTTTTGACTGTCTGTACAACTTTGAAAACTTACTTGGCATTAGTTTTTGTCTCTTTTATATTGTTTTTATATTGTTTTTACTTAATGTTGTATTAACCCCTTATTTATTTTGTTTTTACATGGTGTCCTACTAACTCCTTTTTTTATTGTTAGTTCTTTATTATCTCACTGGCAGCGTCGCTGCCAGCCTTCGTCTGGCTTTTAAATGTACCGGAAAAATAGCTGAAGGGAACACCAAACGTTAAATTTAAAAACTGCATAAAATTTTACTCTGCAGAACAACTTCATAACAAAACGTAATTACATATAACAAAATTACAATGAAATAAGCAATATCCCTTAATACAAATATTAATTATCCTAATAAATAAATTAACCAACTTCCCTTTGCAAAATCTTAAGAACTCAAATGGTATAAAAGGAGGTTAAGAACTTTGTTTCCTAAAAAAAATCACTCAAAACTTTTCAATATCTTAAAAACAGAGAATGAGCAATAAATAACATAAAGAATACAAAAAACAAAAAAATTCTGAAAAGCAAAGTATAATTAATGATATTTTATCTTATATTTTCAAGAGAAAAAAATTCCAATGAAATAAGCTATATCCCTTAAAACAATTATTAATTATCCTAAAAAAAAAATTAACCAACTCTCCGTTGAGGAAAAAAAATCATGCTTTTCAATATCTTACAAACAGTGAAAATAAGCAAAAAATAAACATGAAAGCAATTCAAAAAAACATTAAATTCCACGCAGAATTTTACTCTGGCAGAATCACTTATAAAAAAAAAAATCAATAAGAATGTATTATATATATATATAAATATGACAATAAAATATACCAAATCTCTCAAAAAACAGTGTCATAAGAAATACGATGAAAAATTGTTGCCAAAACCCATATTTCTAAAAGAATGAAACTATTCAAAATGATATTTCATCAAAAATCTATGAAAAACAATAAGAAAGGAAAATTGCCAAAATCACATTTTTAAAGATGTGAGAAGAGTAATCGGAAGCTATATTAAAAATTTTTAAAAAAAATACAAAATATTATCATTTTTCCAAAATTCTTTTTGTAAAAGCAGTCACAAGGGTAAAAGTTTAACGTGTCCAAAAATCAAAGAAAAATAAACTATGCATTTTTAAAAGTAAACTTTTTTAGAAAAAATCCCATTGAAAAGTTGTTAAGCTCCCTTTGTTAAATAAATTTGTATTGAATCGATTTATTGAAACACGAAATTTATTTTAAGTTCGTAAAATAGCTAAGTGCCTACGTTTCATGACTATGTGAAAATGGAGTGTGTAGAGTAAAATCTCGCTTTCTTATAGCCCATTATGTCTCAAAATTACGCGATTTCGTCACAAAACATAAAAAAAAAAAATTCGAATTCGAATTTCAAAAAAGTCGCTTCGAGGTACACTGGCTCTTGTCTAGATGCACCTATATACCAAATTTTGTAGCCATGGTTCTATTAGCTTACGCGCAGCGTGAACGGAAGACACACACACACACACAGACACTTTCTTTTATTATATGTAGAGATAATGTGACGTCTTACTGGTTTTTATAGCTTTGTACTATAGAAACCAGTAAGACGATGTTTGTTTGTTTTATAGCTTGATTTATTATCGTATTGTTTTTTTTTTTTTTTTTTTTTTTGTTTGCATATAGTTTTTTTTTTTTGTTTGTTTTGTTGTTTTTTTGTGTGCAATGTAATATGGGCGCAGCTCCTTTGTGTCATAAGATGAGCTTCACTCGTCAGGCAGGCCAGACTGCATCCTAAATAAATAACCACAGAACTAGAAATTCGTTTGAATGATTTCTGGGGATCGCCTTGTCCTCAAAACTCCAAACTAATAGGAGATTACTCTGTCTTGAAAGTGCTGTTGTAGCACTTGCTAAACACATGTGGTGACATGTGGAGAAACACAATGTTGCATCCACGCAATGTCATGAATGACATTCCATTGATGCAATCCTAGAATTATGTAATTCCGTAACCATTGGTGTATATCAAAAACTTGCGATAGAGCATGTTTTCATACCTACGGAAATACGAGCAATGTGAAGGGCGGAAGAATTTACAGAGAACATATTCTCTGCAGTGTTTATGAAGTGATATGAGAAATCGCTTGCTTGGATAGCCACAAAAGAAACTGTTCAAATGCAATGCTGTGCCGAAAGTAAATTTACCATGTACAGTAAACGAAATAACCCCTAAGAAATCAGAGACATTTGAAAAGAAAACTAATACAGAGTGCTTTTGAAAGACTATATGAATTAAACCCAAAGAAAATTCATTTTGAAACTGAAAACAAAATTGATGACGACAATAATAACTCAAATGTGAATGATTTTGAAATAAAACTCATAAAAGATGTTGTAAATATCCTTAAATGCTTTAAGTCAGTGATTATGAACCTTTTTTTTTTGTCATGGCGTACTTTAAATGATTTCAAAATTCGGCGGCATACAAAGAAAAAAATAAGTTTAAAAGTTGTTTACTTACCTGTAATACACTGTGTGAAATAGTTTCTGATAATAATTTTGAATTTGAAATAAAATAATATGTGCTACAAAAACAGCAGTACGTTTATTAAGGGATTAATTACAAGTTGTTAATAAGAATACTTTTAATGAGAAATTTGAGCTGGACTTTTTCTGATAATTTCATTTATATTTGATCATAAAAATGACAATGCTACTCTCATGTCATCTTCTACATTTAACTGTCTCGATCTTTTTTTCATTTCTATGTTGGTTAATACTGAAAACCCGAATTTACACAAATAAGACATAGAAAACTGTAATAATATTTTAAAAGCTTTTTTGGCCTTCATGGGATAATCACATCTAATGTTAATCCAAAATAAATTAATTCATTCTTCCGAATATTTTAAAATTAAATCTCGATTATTAGAAAGCGAAATTAGTTCTTCCTCTTTATTCAAAGTTAATTCAAATACAGAAGTATTCCGCCCAAAATCGGCTTGGATACGACAATTAGCGAGCTTATTAATGTCTTAAAAACCAAATTTTGCCAATTCTCATGTTTACCGCATACTAGAATTAAACTCATTATAACTTTTACTATATACATTTCTAAAATTTGGCGGCACAGTGGTTGAGAATCACTGCTCTAAGTGTAAAGATAAACAATAAAATACATTGATAATTTGAAGAACAAAATAAAATCCTTAAAAAATTGTATTAAAATATTGAAAAATAGAAAAAAAGAAAAATTTTAGAATGTTTGCTCAGAGACAAAGAAGGTGGAAAACATATAGAAAGAAATTTGTATCGGAACTTCAGAAATTAAAATCTCAAATAGCGAAATTAAGGGGGAGGGGAAGCACAGATCGGAGAACTTGGAAAAACATATAAAGCATATTTTTATAAAGACGCATATTAATCGCACAGATTGGCATAAAAAGACCTGCCTCCTTAACTCTCACTTTTGAAAAATTAAATAATTATTTTATGTACTGTGAGTCAAAACTGTTTTGTCAAAATTAAGATAACAATCTTGCATATATTTATTTAAATGTAATATAGATGTAAGTATAAATTACAAAATTATTTAAAAATTACCTATTATTATATTGAATCGGAAAAGAAATATGCCTATGTAAAATTTACAAGTAAGCCAGAAAATCAACCTGAAATTAGTAGAAATTTTGCCTCATATGTCATATATGTTTAAAACTATATAATCTAAAGTTGTTTTTTGATTAATTTTAAATAGCTGTTATTACAGTTATCTTAGATCTCTCAGTTAGTTGCAGATAAAGAAATGATTATAAATAAATGCACATTTTTTTAAAAAAGAAACTGTATGTTAAAAGAGTAGCTCATTTTATGTTATTTTAAAGTTGAGTAAGTATTATTAAATTTTTTAATGTTCAGTGTAAAATGCATACAGCAGTAACATTGTCTCTTTCGAATTATAGCTATCTTTCACGAACAACTAATTTTAAACGCTAGTTCTTCAAATTTAAAATGCTAATTTCTATGTTGTGAATTGCATCTTTGCACTCAGTGTCAGCATGACAACGTCATCACTTCTGACTGCTTCAGGGCAAAATGCTGTATGAGCTAGCCCTTCTCTTCTAAGTCTTGATATTATGCACTTCTCCAATAACTTCAACAAGAGCATATGGTCATCCAGATCATGGTCTATCACATGTGCATCCAGTTTCTTCAGATTTTTTGACCTAATCATGTACACTTTTTAACGGATCATGGGCCTCACCTTTACAATGCATAAAATTTCATTTTGATTGACTGAGTGGCTAGCCACTGGGGTCTCATATATCGAATTTTTTTTTTATGATCCCCTGTAGTTTAATTTGTTAATCTGATTTATATGTATGGTATATATAAAAGTAATCTGACTTCGTTAGCTGTACCAAGAAAAAATTTAGCATGGGCAGATAATTCAAAGCATTTATAAATATTTGTATGTTTCTTATTATTTATTATTATTACAATATTTCAATAGTATTTTTCAAATATATATTTTTTAGGCGGAACAAATGGATTTTCTGATTTTCAGTTTCTAGTTGAACCTCATGATACTATTGTGATAAAAGACCATTCCACAATATTAAATTGCTCTGCAGCTGGCAACCCTTCACCTGTTATAGGTTGGAAGAAAGATGGTGCTTTATTAGAATTATTGCAAGATGATAGAAGGTTTGTGCTATAATTAATTAATTACCGTATGAATTTATTTGATAGTTTAAAGGCATATAATATTTTTAGTATGTCTAATTTTAAAATCATGTAACTGTGTGTTTCTTTTGCTTTTTATGTATTTTATGAAGGTTTCTAGCTAAAAGAAATACGTATTTATTACAGTCAAACTTCATTAACAGATAATTTTTAATCATAGGTCACTGATGGGTTGTTAAGTCTGTTTTCATGTAATATGAACTGATTATAAAGCCACTTTTCAGATGATGAATCAGTTTATTTAGTCACATTCAAACTCATGATGTGACCAAAAATACCTGTTCTTTGGAAGGAAAGCATATTTTGTTTTCATCCAAAATTGTTCTGTAAGCTGCAGTAACACTTCTACGTTTTTAGAAATCTATCAAATCAGTTAACATCTATTCGGTCAAAATGGCAAACAATCTTTTTATCTTTGTGTCCAAAGATAGATTTCTTCTCATGACTGCATACATATATTTCTTTTTTTGGTAGCACTTTAAGAGCATGATCTCTGAAAGTCTCATTCATTCAAAGATCTAATGGCATTGTCAGCTGGCACTGGAAACAGTCATGAAATGCCCAAGATCTTTGCTAATGTATGCCAGTCCATGCAGCAGCCCTGTGAATCTTGTAGTATGATTGATAGCCCTTATTCTCAAAATCTAAATCATTAAAATGCTTGTTTCTTTTGACTTTATCTATGATTCTTATTTGTTCATATCTTTCTGACATGCCAGCACTAATGTGTGAGATTTCTGCTCACACTTTTCATGACAAAATCTGCTTTTTTATTTTATTCCTCAACAGGTATTTTTGAATCTTTTTATATATTTAATTTATAATACAGAGTACAGTAGGGAAACTACCTTATTTAAAAAATGAATAACACAAATAGTATAAGTAATAACAGTTTAATTTTTTTCCAAGTTATAGAGAGATACTTAAAGTTTATTTTATTTTATTTATTTTTTTTTATTGTGGTTTAAAAATAATATCAATAAGGTAGCCTCCATTCTGGTCAATGCATTGAGATAGTCGAGTTTTGAAGTTTCTTTCCACTTTTACCAGCATATCAACGAGTATGTTGTTGATAGCAGCTTGAATATTGTTCTTCAGTTGAGCCACGGTCTTTGAACGTTAGAGATTTCGGATAGCTCCACAAAAAGAAATTGCACGGGGCTAAATCAGGCGAGGCGTGATGGCCACTGAAGATCACCGTAAGGAGATAAGGCATCCAGAGAAATGTTCTCCAAAGAAACCATGGTCCAATGATGCCTATTCTGGACAGTGCACATCAAAAGGTCACATGTTCTGTATGGGATGGGCTGTTCATGAAGTTCTCAGAGATTCGTGCTACTCCAATATCGCACGTTTTGCTTATTCAAGCAACCGAACAGATTAAACGAGCCTCATTGCTAAAGAGCACTAGGTTATCAATGAGGAAATTAGTCAAGAATGGCTTCTCATGCATTTTTTCGTGAAAGAAAATTTTGTGGATTAAGTTTTTGCCAAACTGCCAATTTATATGGATGAAAATGCAGTACGTTGAAAAGTACGATTCCACGGCGAACGTGCGCTCCTCTCTCGTCCACTGTATGATTGATACTAAACCTACCTGACATAAAGTTTTAGACACTCTTTTTTTCAATGAGCATCATCCCACCCTTCTCGGAGTAAATGTTGCTAGATGGTGTGCGTTTCAAATAATGAAGTTCCCCTGCCACACCCTGTACATCTGATTGGTAATTATGAACATTTGCAGCTTTGTTGTAATTAATAACATATATTTCTAATGGCATCTGTTTTGTAACTAGTTAAAGAAACATTTATTAAAAAAATTATGATGCTTTATATGTCTAAATTTCTTTAAAAATATCTCTTTTCTTTCCTTAATTGTAATCTGAAGTTTTCAAACTGCGGAGTTTTTTTTTTATGCTTTAAAATCTTGAAATATGAGAATCTTTTGTTCAGAAAACCATTTTTAATCTTATTTATGATTTTTTATAAACATATTTTGTGAAGCAAATAAACATTATAAATGAGTACTTTTTCTTTCAGATCTATCTTAGCCAATGGTTCATTGCTTTTCCAAAGAGTTCTGCACAGTAGGACACAAAGACCTGATGAAGGCGTTTACCAATGTACAGCGTTTTTAGATGGCATTGGATCTATAATCAGCAGAGAAGCAAAGCTTCAGATAGCATGTTAGTTTTAATTATTTTTTCCCAGAAAATATTTAATCTGTAGAAAAATCTTCGTTAAATACATTATTTTACTTTGTAAAAATATTCCTTAGTAATTGAACTTCATTCTAACATGTGTGTATTCACACATATTCATATGTGATCTGAATGTTAGCAACAGAGATGTATTGATTTAAAAGTAATTTAAAAATGCTGAAAAATATAAAAATGATGAATAAATTATGTTAAATGAATGATCTAAAAATCTGACAGCACGTGTTAGAGCCATTACATTAAGAGTATACTCCTTCTGTCTCATAATTAGAGTAGCTATTGATGAATTTAATTTATTCCATAATCATAGTAGCACCAAATAAATAAATAAAAGTAGAACTCAGCATTTAGTATAAAAAACTAGATTAAGTTACAAAGTAAATTAAAAATATTACTCTTATTTCTGTTTTGAGTGTTCAGGTAGTTTCTGAAATTTAAAGTACTTTCTTTACTGCATTTTAAAATTGTAGGTAGGATTCCTTGGCTGCAAGGCTTCACTTTCCGTATATGTGTGAGCTTAAATTCATTGGAGTCATCTTTCTTCATTGCTTCCAATATAACTTGTTGAAGTGACAGAAACTTATTATCCAGTATTTCGGAGAAATATTATCAAAGGCTAGGTTTACTGCTTCTATCGTGCCTCTTCTGCAAAGAGGAATATGTCTACAAGTTTTTCAAGTTTCTCTTATAATCTTTGCATTTTTGTCCACTGTTTTGTTTTTTGAAAGAATCAACATTAACCTAAGATTCGCTTTGGTAGTTACTTTTGGAGGCACATTTTCAGATTCTTGATTAAGTCATTTTGTTGCATTTAAATTGTTTTGCAGTTAGCATAATGCACCTTTCTGTAATTGTCGTTTTTCTTTTGATACATCAAGAACTGGACTACCGCAATTTGACCTTAAAACTCTCTTTTTTTTCTCATCTTAATTTTATATGGGATAGATATTTAACTGAAATAAACAACTGATTTTGATCTGTGTATGAAATTAGAAAAATAGTTTACAATTTGTAATAATTAGGATAACCTAAAAATTGAAAGATGTGTCAAAACAAATGATGGATGTTATGAAACATTGATTTTGATTGAAGATTTCACAATTGTGTGCTATGACATAACTTACAGCTGCATTTGCCAGTAATTCCTGTTTAATTTTTCACTTACTATTATTATTTGTATGGAACAGAGGGAGTAATTTTTTTTTTGGGGGGGGGGGTTACGCATCATAGAAAAATCTTAGAAATAAAAGAAAAGGCTAAGTTTCATTATTTATTCTCAAGTTTTGTCACTCTTGGCAATTTTTTTCATATTTCTTTTCAATTTAAGCTAAAGGTAAGCTACTTAATGATTATTTCAGTATGTTACAATTATTTGAATAAATGTCGCTCTGAAAGTTTTAATATTTAGCTGACAGTATGTTTGAATTGCAAAGTATGACCAACAGAAATTTCTTGCAGATGTCAACTTTTCAGATTTCAGAACTTATTTTTCAGGCAGAAAAATAAGTATAAAATTGTTCTTTTTTCTTAGTGTTATTTTTATTTCTATTTTTTTGACAAATGTTTAATAAAAAACTTAATAATTTAGTGAACAAATTTAACAAATTTTGTTTTGTTAAGAAATTTTCTCTGCCTTTATTTTTTAAAAAATATTATTAGTCCAAAGGGAGCAATTTACCTGAAGGACTATTAATTTCGTTTTGGCATTTTGCTTTGAAAACTGTAAAAAAGCTTACCACTTTTCAAATTGTTGCCACCATGTATTATCGCCCTGTCTTATATTTAAAGAAATCAAATGATGAAGAATTTGCATAAATGTATGTATGTTTCTCTCATTGTGGTAAAACAACAGTACCTAGAGCCACCAAAATTTAAATAACGTAATCTTCCATAGAATATGGGCATGTGGAAGCCTTAATTTAAGTTTGAAATTTGTTTTATTATTAATTTCGTATTTTGTAACACTTCAGTGCATTTTTAATTAAAAAAACTAAACGATTTCAAAGTGAGCAATGGCAACACTGAAAAAAAACATTTTTATCTCTAGTGCACAAGACTCTGTATCGGAAATTCTAAAGATACGTACATTTAAAAATTAATTTGCGATACTCCTGTATAACTGAATTTTATAGTTTGAGCACGTAGAATAAGATGTTTAATAAATAAAGGTAATACACAAAACGTTAAAAAGTGTCTGTTTGGTTGTAATTTAAAATCTGAAACTCTCTCTCTCTCTCTCTTTTTTTTTTTTTTTTTTTGTGTGTGTGTGTGTGTTAATTCCAGCCCACTTTCAGGCTTTGCAATTAGATTTTGATGTACACTGCCGAGAGAAGAGTTCAATATCTCTCGTTCTACTGGGCCGATTAACAAAATTCAAACTACGTTTTTCATTTCTTGAACGTGCGATGTAGGATATATATTAGATTTATATATATCATTGTTCTAACATAATTTATTTACTAAAAATATTGATTAATAGATTATCTCCTAAGTTTAATTATAGTAGGATTATCTTAAAAGAGTGAATCCATACTAGTAAGTTATATTTTGAAAGATGTTTTGAAGTAATTTGAAAGTAAAATGTTAAAAATGTTTTAACGGGGACTGGAATAAAATCACGAATAACAAAATTTCAATTGTAAAAAGGAATAAATTAAAGGCAAGAATTAAAGTAAATGCATGTAATCATTGTCATTGATCGGAAATTAGTTGACTTTTCAAGGGGAACAAACCAACTCCCGTTCAATGAACAATAATTAATAAATAAATACGAAGGTGTTTCGTCTTTACTCGAGCTATAAGCTTAAGCCAAACCGCCAAATATTTCCGTGAATAGAAGGGATTATCAGCCAATGCTGATATTTAAAGAACTTATTCCTATTAAGCATTTTAGCCAATTCAATTTTGAGTGAGAAGCAATTTTTGCAGTATTCTATAAAGCTCGAGTAACTGTCCCCCGACACCCTCGTGTTTATGCTTTTGAGTTCAATATTATTTTTTAAAAATTAAACATTGGAAATTGTCATTATGAAATAGAATTCAAAGTAGTTGATATAAACATTAGAGAATTACAAAATATAAGATAAATAATGCAAACTTTGCAAAAATAAATAAAAAATAATATAAAAATAAAAAATATAATAAGAAAAGTGAATATATGAAGATATAAGGGCCAGAAAAAGTATTAATTAACTTACGTTCTTTCTAGTGGGGAGTGGGCAAAGTGTTCTCTTCGCGTCTGACTCAGAAGTGTAGTGTTTCTGAAAAATTCTTAGCAGCAGCGGGGCTTTGAATAATATCAGTCGGTAAGACTTGGGTGATATAGAGAAATTCAAAAATTTATCTTGGCACAATTTTTTCAGTTTGCGCCAAGAATAAATTCACTTGCTGAACATAATAATCTCAATATATGGCTTCCATTATGCCAGAGCGGAGTGGGAAAAAAGGCTTCTCGTTAACCTTTTTACATTGTGAATGAGCATAAATTCTACTTCCAAATAACTAGTTCCAAATAAGCAAAGTGCCTAAATCATATTTGATGTTTTATCGCTTTCAACAAATATGCCAAATTTTAAAACGTGCCAATATATAAATTCACGTATTTCTTTGAAAATTTTGAATGAAAAACTAATTTTTTTTTAGAAATACGTCTACTTTAAGATGATGGTAAACATTTTATAGATTATAATTCAAAATATTTTTTGAAAATTTTATAAAAATTTTTTTAAAATACAAATTTTAAAAATAAATCATGAGAAATGGGTAAATTTTATTTGCAATGAACCTGAATTTCGAAATATGAAAAGAAGAATCAAAAAAGTTTAAAAAAAAAGGAGAGATTAATAAATATATACGAAACTCAATTAACATTGAGGAGCTAAAATTTTGAGAGCTAATTGTTTAAAAACTACTTGTGTGATTTTTTACAAAACTTGGTAATTTGGCGTAATTTGAATCGTAGAATTGAAAAATGGTATGTTATTTCAGAAAAAGTCTGATTTTGTGTCAAAATAAGTATTTTAGAACAATGCTATATATAAATCTAATATATATCCTAAGTAGCGCTTTCGAGACATGAAAAACTCTAGTTGAATTTCGTCAATCGGCCCAGTAGAAAGGGAGAAATAGAACTGTCCCTCCTTTTTTTGTGCAGTGTACATAGCCCAATATTAAAAAATATTTAATTTGATGCGGTTTTTTTTTTTTTTTTTTTTTTTTTGCTTGTGCCAATAAGGAATTTCTAAGCAGAGGCAGCTGTAAATAAAAATATATTTATGTAAAAAAAAACTTTTTGTCAAAGGGGGGACTACACAAAATTATTTTTTACATAGAAAATAATTTCTTTTTTGGGTAACAAATATCTGATAAAAAATTAGAATTTAGAAAACAAAAATCGGCATTATATTTGCAAATTTTCAAGGACTAGTGTACCGAACCATCACCTCAGCTGCCAAAGTGCAAATGAATGAGATAAAATAAAAAAGGTTTATTCTCCTATCAATAAAATTCCGAGTTCCATATTTAAGGACCCCATTCCGGGTATGAATTCCTGGGGTATGTACAGTATTCCTTGTCATAATTTACATTGGTCAAACTAAAGAGAGCCCTAAAATTTCGTGTTGAGGAACATAAAGTATATGTTAGGAAAAAGGAAATACAGAAGTCCTCTGTTGCCCAGCATTACTGGTCCGAAAATCACATTAACCATATTTCTGCAGCCAAAATTATTTAAAAGACATCTTCCATTGGTGCAAGGGATTTTCTAGAGGCGTTTCACATTCAAAAATATCTTTCTGTTCTAGTCAACAACCCTAATTCCAATCCATCTTTACCTTCAGCCTTTAATTATGTTTTAGTTTTCTTGTTTCAGCAGTAGATGGCGACACTGGCTTAACTCCTGTCCAGACATTCTTATACGGTCAAAAGTCGTTAATCCGACTCCAAAAGTCCAAAATCGTCGGGACTTCGGCGATTCCGGATTATCGATTTTTCCGGATTATAGATCATCAGTTTAAATCTCGTAAGATGGCATGCAGAAATTCTAAAATTAAAAATATGAAACCGTAATTTATGAAATAAAGAACAATTATCATCTAAAGGGTATCAAAATTTACAAAAAAAAAAAAAAAAACTTAATATTTATTTGTTTACTTTATTAAACATTTCTTTAAATGTAAGTTGCTTCGTTTTATGTGATAATACTTTATCTTTAATTCTATAAACAGACATAATTTCTTGTTCAGTTACAAAGTTCCGCTGTTCAAGTCCCGTTAATTGCTGTGTCGAGAATACCGACTAACTTGTCAATCGAAATTTTTTCGTTTTCACTAACGTCTCTGTCACATTCTTCATGTCTTTATCCATTTTTTGCAGCAATTCCACTTTTTGTTTGATGGACATCGAAACATACTTTCGTTTTGTACGATCCTTTGGGAGCTCCAGAATCGGAAATTCTTTTTGACATAATCGAAAGTTCAAGTTTACTTTTATAGTATTGCTCTTACAGTCTGCAAAAAATAATAAGCCGGATTCAATTTGAAAATTAAGGAACAACGCAATCATCAACACTAACTGAAATAGATAATTAGATAATTTTAGCTTATACCGTCCGTTATACATAAAAACGCGCATGCGAAAACGTATTCTGCACTTGTGCACACGCATATGCGCAGACGTAAAAGGTCTTACGCGTACGCGTGAACGCCTATGCGCATTTGTCAACGCGGCGCATGCGCAGAAAGTTTTTAGCTTTGAAGTCCGGATTATAGATCATTCCGGATTATGGGTGTCCGAATTAACGACTTTTGACTGTATTATCACTGTACCTTGTTTCGTTCATTTGCACTTTGGCAGCTGAGGTGATGGTTCGGTAAAGCCATTGAAACTAGTCCTGTGAAAATTTGCAAATATAATGCTGATTTTTGTTATTTGACTTCTAAATTAATATTTGCTTGGTGTGTTATTTTATCTTAATTCTCTGATGAATGCATTAAAGGAAATTGGCTCTTTTTTATTTATTTATTTTTATTTATTTATTTATTTATTTTTTGGCCCAAACCCACTAAAGTACAGTATTTAAAATTTAAATAAATAATTCTTATTAAAACCATCTCATTTTTAAGAAATATATAAAAAAAATTAATATTAGGGATGTTTTGAAAGTAAGTTTTGTCATTGAAAGAAAAGATGGTACACTAGGTGAAGCAAACAATTGCCTTAAGAAACCACACCCGTTGCTGGTTGAATGATGGAGGGAGTGTCAGTGGAGGGGAATGATGCATGCGCAGAGTGCTGAGGAAGACCAGCATGCCCAAAGTTATTCAAGTACAAATCATGATGGGAGACAGATGTGTTCTTACAATGTAATCATCAATGGAAATGCATGCTGTTATCCAGTATGAATAGATACATGGGACTACTAAGTCCATTATCCGTGAAGGCCTGCACATCATACATGTGAAGAATTCATGTCTCATCAAATGGTTGGTTGCCGGTGTTGCATGTTCAGTGAAGGAAGGCAGAGTGGGGAGGATAAAGGTTGAAGTGGGCATATCTCCACATCTACAAAATAATATTGTTAGATTACAGAGCATGCTGTTAGTGGACTGGCATATAACAGTGTCAGATGTAGTGTCCACACTGGGTATTGGTTGTGCTGAGGCCCATCACATGCTCCATGATGTGTTGGGTTACCGAACGCTGTCTCCAAGATGGGTGCAGAGAATCTTGACTCCAGATTACAAGAGTGAAAGAATAGGAATTGCCCTCAATCACTTGATGCAATACGCATGAGAACGAAATGAGTTCCCATTCAGGATCATCACAGGCAATGAGACATGGGTGCACCACTTTATCCTAGAAACCAAGGTCGCTTCAATGAGGTGGAAGCACCCCAATCTACCAGCGAGGAAAAAATTCAAAGTGTGACTCACCGCAGAAAAAGTTATGGCCACGCTGCTCTGGCATGTGAAAGGTATGATTCTGCTTGATTTCCTCCAAGAAGGGACAATCAGTGTGGTATGCTGCCATGACACCCTCATCAAACTCAGGTCCGCGATTCATCGCAAAAGACCAGTGCTCTTGAGTGAAGGTGTTGTGCTTTTGGGCAGCAACACAAAACTTCACACAGTAAGCCTCACACAGTATTAGATTCATCATTTCAGATAGGAGAGATTGTATCACTCAGACAACAGCCGTACCCCCATCGGATTTTTACCTGTCCCCTGCATTGAAAGCCACACTCTCAGGATATAACTTCCAAAACAATGCTGAGGTGGAGCAGGTTGTGTGACTATTCCTTGCAACACAGAGTACTGAGTTTTACCTGAGTGGTTTCTTCAAACGTTTGCACCCTGTGACAAATGTGTCAGTGTTGGCAACTATGTCAAAAAATAGTGCAAGGTATCATGATGTATTTTTTTTTTTTTTTGGTGCAATAAAATTTCCATATGAAAAAATAATGACAAATCTTACTTTTGAAGTGTGCTACTTAGTATTCTTCTTAAAAAGCAGTTGAATAGTGTACAGAACGGTATTGCTAAAAATATAAATCATTACACAGATAAAAATTTTAAGTGCTATGTATATGAATATTTTGCTGTACATTCTTATGCAGGTATGCATTTTCCCCCTCCCAGCTTTACCACCATTTGATAAAAATCCTCATAATAACAGTATACTAGAAGGCCAGACTGCATATTTTCCATGCTCAATTCAAGGTATACCTCCTGCTACCATATCATGGTTACGGAATGAACAAATTCTGCGCTTAGATCAAACCCGAATGACAGTTTTTCCAAGTGGTGCTTTAGAAATTGTTTCAGTTAGTCATTCAGATGAAGGCATGTATCGCTGTGTTGCAGTCAATGCAGATAAATCTCGTGAAAGTGGAGCAGGAGCATTGATTGTGAATACTGATTACAGTAAGTTTCATTTTAACTTTCTACTTTTTTCGTGTGAGCAACAGCAAGATTTATTGCAAATATTATTCGTTTGATTATAATATTATGCCTATTAAGTTTTTATGTCTTCCAGATGAATTAAATAGGCTTTCTCCACATTTCATTGCCAAACCTCCTAATACAACTGTCGTAACAAGAGGATCACACTTAACCTTAGACTGCGCAGCTAATGGAATTCCACAACCAAGAATTACATGGTTAAAGGATGGAACCACAGTTGATTTAGCGTAATGAAATTTATTTTTAAATGAAAACTATAGTTATAATTAAGTCATCTTCATTTAATATTGAAGTGGAAGATAATTTATCAGTATCTATAAATTTCAAAAGCAGAACACTGATAGGTGTAATATTCGCTTCAATCTAATTACTAGTTTCTTTTAATTTTAATTAAAAATTTATTCTATGTACATGCTTTGTTAATAAAGGCTGAGAGTGCATACACTGCTTAAAACATTGCATACTTTTTTAAAATTTTCATATTTTGCAGTTTTGTGTCCCTGAAAAGGTATGTGTAACTTTGTATTTAATGAAACCACAGTTAAATATAATTTAAATCTAAGACATTTTGTTGAAATTCTTTTCTCCTTTAAATATAATTTGTTCTGTAATTAAGACACTTTTGTGCCTTTTGCTTACTGTATTTTCTATCAATTTTATTTTCCTATGATATAATCAGCACGTAATACTAACTGCCATATTTTTATGTAACAAACAGCAAAATTACTTTTGTGCAATTGAAACATCATATATCTGTGTCGACTAATGCATGAGTCTTGAACAGTGGTGGCTCGTAATAAGCACTGTGGAACTGCAGCACCCCCTATTTCCACTTATTATTATTTTAATATTTAATATAGTGTGCCCTTTAGTCTTTAATTCTTTTTTTAAACTTTTATAATACATAATCCTTAAGCTTAATGTCAGTTGCCATCCCCTACTTTGTGGAAAAAGTACGAAATTCTTTCTTTGGAACTGCGTGCTTCACAGTTCCAACGACGTGTTGTTTGGCTGTTCTGCACATGCGCGCACAGAAAACAGCATGCTAGCTGGGTAGCGAGAAGAGCACTGTCGCTCTTGCAGTGCCGGAATTCTGGCATGTTGTTGGAAACGTGATTTCTTTTTACTCCGCGCATGTGGTATTCCTCCACAAGGTGGAACTTCATCATACGGACCATTAACAGAGTTCATGAAAATTTGCAACCTTTAAAAAATTGCCTTACTGAAATTCAATCAACATCAAATGCAGATTAAACTATTGCAAAAGCAACAGGAATTTTAAAAAAACCTATATGATGATCATTTAAGTTTTGGTTAGAGCTTTTTTATCAGATGCCTCATGTTGAAATAATATACAACTAAATGCAATCCAGAGAAATTAGCGTGTTTAAAGTTAACGAATATATAACAAATTTCAAATCTGCTCTTTTAGAATTAAGAAACTCAAAGTACTGTAAGAATTTTCGAAAGACACTGATGGCAGAAGAATAGAGGAAGGAAATATGTGACTTTATACTATATATTGATATAATGCACAAATATTCTTCTTCACTAAACACTTAGCAGCTGCTAAATTGTTAAACAAGAAAATGCTTCGCTAGTTTTAGGAATGAACATTCTACAGAAGATAATAGTACTGACAGCTGAAGTGTATATTTAATTATTGACAAAGAAAAGCTTGAAACTGAACTAAAAGTATTCTATTGTAGGTCTGATATCCATGAATACTGCAAATTAATTGAGCTACTGAAATTTATCTTCGAAAATAATCTAGATGATGTTCTTAGTGAAATTACGAAACAGATAAAAATTCTCTTGCGAGTTCCCATGACTACATCAGAGGCAGGACCATGCTTTTCAACATTTTAAAGAATGAAAACTTTTCTAAGAAGCACTAGGAATTCGGAAAGACTAAATGCGCTTGCATTGATTTCAACAAGAAAAATCTCCTCAGTTGTCATCCAGAGATCAAGGAGAAAATTATTGATCTTTTCGTGCAAATTAAAACAAGAAGAATGGATTTCATTTTTAAATGAATAGACAAAGATTGAACTGTAACAATTTAGGTTAAAGTAATTAAGAAATGTTTAATTTTGTTCTTGTAAGATTTCATGAAGTTTCAAAATAAATTTTCTTTTTATACATGTTTATTTCCTTTTAGACAATTTTAAAACAAAGGTTAATTTTTTTTGGAACAGCACCCCCACTAATTTTAGCTACGAGCCACCACTGGTCTTGAGCTACTAGTAATTGTAGCATATGTTTTAGTTAATTATTGGCATATTATAGGATATGTTCTCTGCCTGTTATCATAGCAAAAAACAAACAACAAAAAAAAAAAAAAAAAAAAAAAAAAAAAAAAACATGAAAAGTTCAGACAGCCCTGATGTTATGTGATGCATGTGTTACTATTTTATTGGTTCACAGAACAAAAGATTTTGATACGTAGGGTTTGCTGCTTTAACTAACTTCATAATTTAGTAAGAGTTGTGTCAGATTAAGCAAGCATAATCTTTTGTTTACTGCAGACATTAAATACTTTTTTTTAATTGGAAGAGGTGGCTTTGAATTCTGTTGTAATTTATAAACACTACTGTGAAAAATTAAAGAAATTACTATAAAAATTCAGCTAACTTAAACGATTTTATAGTTAAAAACTCAGAACTTGCACAAAAGTTTTCTTTTTATCGTGCCTGACATACCTTCAAAATCAGAATTGCCTTTTTCTGCAAAAAAGGGAATTAAAATAAGAATGCAGGAAATGTGACTCAAAATGGAATAGGAAAAAGCTGGTGTTATAACCTTTTAAAGACACAGAAATAATTAATAAGGTGTGTGGCCTGTTCTGACTGAAATACAAGCTTTACAGTGATTTTTCAGGCATTATATTGCCCAGGAGCTCCTGCAGTAACAGAGTGGGCTTACAATAAATATTGCATTGAAGCTTTTGGAAAGTACTAAAAGAGGCTTGCACTAATGCAAATCCCATTATAGTGTGACTTGCACAATTTTGTCAAATTTCAATTCAGAGAATATTGGGACCACTCTGTCCACTGACTTCCTTAACCCTCAAGATAATTAATCCCTTGTACATAAGATAGGGAGGAGCATTGTCATCCATTATGAGGAAATTGGTAATGATTGCATCCCTAAAAAACTTCAGAACCTAATTTCTGTGTATTTATGCACTCGAAGTTTTACCAGTAAAAGTATGAAGGTCACTGCAGCCATTAAAAATTATGCCCATCCAGACAATGATTTCATCTTTGTACTAGTGTATTATTGTACTTTTGTACTACTGTATTATTGTACATCTTTGTACTACAGATATATTTTACTTTTTTAACCTTGTCAGATGTTTTCAAGCTTATTATGTATGTTAGGCTCTCTCCAGATTGTAAGACATCTGGAATCACCCTCCAAATAAAAATGAAATTCATCAGTAAAGAAAACTTGGCTCCATTTGGTGATACTCCATTCAGAATGATCTCTGCCCCCCTCCCCAAAACAGGCACATTTCGCAATCTAAGTTAGTGAAACTCAGATCATGGGTTTTCTTGCATACAAGTGTCTTTTATGCAGCATTTTGCTTTACTAGGTTTGGATAGTCGAGTTCCTGAAGATGCAGTGAACTTCCTTGCCGTCTGGGCTGGGTTCAGTTGTCTATTTCTGTTAGCAATCATTGCTAAACAACGGTCCTGATAGGTCATATTTTTGATTGTCTACATGTATCACCAATGCCTTTAATTCACATTCTTGATTTGACACTTTTGGCTACTCTTAGGTCTTTCTACATCCATTTTCCCTGTCACATGCCATTTCTCACAGTCTGTCAGATGCTTTTTCAATGACATGTTCTACACACCATACATAAAAATTTTATTCATCAACTCATACAGTCCTTGAACTTCTTTCTACTCTGGTTGAATGAACAAGTGCAAAAATTTCTGCAAAGTGAAGATAGCCCAGTGGATTATGTGATTATCTTATCTTTAACTACTAACCAACTGCCTTTCGTTGGCCTTCACTTAATTAACATAAAGTGAATTTTTAATAGTTGTTTCTTTAACTCTGCTTTCCAGTATATAAACATTTAACTTTAGTGAAATGTAATATTTTTTATAAATTTGAAAACCAGAAAATTTCAAGAAGTTTCACAGCTTTGTCCATCATTACATTTGATTTTCAGACCCTATTTTTGTTTTGTTTGCTTGTTTTTGTGTGTGTGTTTGTGTCTTGTTATTAAATGTAAATTCTGAAGTTTATTTAATTAGATGAATGAAGAACAATTTATCAAAATTTAATGGAAGCATAAATAAAATAAATTGCAGATTTTTTTATATGCTGGATAAGTGATTTTTAATTATTCTGTATTTCAAGTACCTTGGATTGATTTCAAATTATCAGTTGAAGTTTATATTTATATTTGTACTTTTTTAATCTTTAGAAATGTTGAAAGGTTATTGTAAACTTCAATTTCTAGAGACTTAGACAGTAGGTATAGAATTGTGGGCTCTGGCAGTTTGTACATAGAAAATGTAGTTGAAGAGGATACTGGAATTTACATGTGTCGTGCAGAAAATGCTGAAGATTCAGTTGATACAAGTGCAATAGTTGATATCTTAGGTGAGTTTTCATGCTTTATATCTAAAGCATTTATTATGCTGAGAACTTCAAAATCTGATTAGTCTCAAGTATTATTTAAAGTTATTTGGAATGGCTCTTTATAATTGCATAAATTTCTAAAAGAAATATGAAATTAATTATGTTATTATTCTAAAAAATACGTCTAGCCTTTTTGTAGAAAAGGGCTTGATATGACATTTATAACATTCGATTTTTAACGACTTGTGAAATTATTTGTATTAAAAATACTCATTTTCTCTTTTTTTTTTTTCTCAAGAATACTTGAATAATTATTTTAGCATTTTGCAAATGAATGCATGTAGAAAGGAATATTTCAGTTGTTTCATCCATCTATCTGTCTGTATATATAAATATACACACACATAAGGTAAGAAAATGAAAATATTTCCTGCAGATGAGCTGTAGCGAATTGAATGTCTTAATTTTCTGGAGCTTTATTTATTTTATATAACGGTGTTTATAAGACTCATTCGTGCATTTTAATAATTTATTAAAAAGAATAAAGTTTTTGAATATTTTGTGGACGGTTTTTCTAGGTTTTTATCTTTGTGTAAATTTTTTTCGCTGTGAAGGGGTCGTTTTAGATAGGGTCATAAAAGAGTCCTGTATAGTGTAACAAGTATTTATTAACAGGTTTAAGTTACACACGGACATTACATTTAACTTTAAGGTTATTACAGAGCAAGGGTCTGATACAACCTATCAGATGGGCAGGGTTGCCACGCTACCTGGAAAACCGGGAGATCCGGGAAAAGTCAGGGAATTCGAAAATTGACCAAAATATTCAGGGAATGTCAGGGAATTTAAGTATTTTTGTCAAAATCTGGAAAAGTCAGGGAAGTTCATACAACGATCCCGCAAAAAAAAAAAAGAGATTTTTGCGCCGACGTCGGAAGAGGTAACTTTTTTGGCGAATTATGTATCACGTGAGTGTCATTCGGGTAGCTGGCATAGAGCCAATTTTCGCAGCTCCAATTTGATTGTCTTTTAGAAAGGCAAAGCAACTTTCCCGCAACTTTTGGTTTCCAGTATTCTCGAGAATCGCATGTGCAGTGCATGAACTAAAGAAAGTACCTGTTCTCGTATAAAACAAAATGGGTTTAATCCTAGTATACGGTACTATGGAGGTTAGAATCAAAGAATATGTATTGTAAGAGAAGGAAAACCTCTCTGCAACAGACGTGGCTGTGGCTCCGTTCCATCATAGAGGGAACAGCTGTGCATGTCTGATATATCTGTCACCAAAGCTCGAACCGGTGTCGAAGTTCGAAGGTCACGTTATCAAGAGTTCATAAAATGAATATCGTTTAAAATTTCTTTAACCACTTGCGCTAAAAAGACGTGCCACGCACGTCAAGATGCTTTTGTCTCAAACCGCGAGCGACGTGAACACCACGTCGATAAGCATTTATCGCATAAATGAAAATAACGTGGTGCACACTGTTTATTTCTCGAGTTACAGCTCTGGATTGCACTCGCAGATGCGGAGCGGCGTAAATGAGACACTTTACCACTTGTTATATTGTAGCGCACGGCACCGTAACCGTGAAGTTTAGTCTTAGCGCAAGTGGTTAAACTCTAAAGGAAAAGAAAATATTTTTTGGCGCAAGTAAATTAATTCATGGATTAGTTATTTTCAGAGGAAAGAAAAAAAAAAAAAAAAAAAACTACGAAAATCCGTTTTTAAAATTATTGCGAAAAATCCAAGAAGAAACGTCCTTTGATAAAACGTTTCTTCTTGGATTTTTCGGAATAATTTAAAAACGGATTTTCGTAGTTTTCTTTTTGTCAAAGAGCGTTTCTTCTTAACACGCGTTTCTCAATTTCCTGTACACATCGCGGAGAGGGAAATTCTGACCGCCAGGTTCCGTCGCCAAATCCCTTGGAAAATTTTCCCTTCGCATTCTAGCGGCGTAATAGCATTTTACTTGTATGGAACCTTTTCTTCTTTACATAGACGTTCTTTGGTTAGAATAATAATGGGATTGGCGACATCTTGATGCGCAGTAAACAGTAAACAGGTCATTTTGGTCTTGGCGTCAATTTTCAAAATCGTGCCAAAGCCTTACCGTATAACTAGAATTTTCCGCAAAATCTTTTTAAACCATTTTTTTTCTTAATAATACCTTGCCATTTTGCAGTAAAATAAAAAATAGTAATCAGTCATCTAGGCTAGACATGTAATATAACTATATTCGCTAAATATAGATGATTATTCTAATTCAATTTTTAAGTAATTATTTTGTTATTCATATAAGTTAATGTTGCTTCTTCCCTCTAAATTATTTATTATTAGTAATAATATTTCCAAATTTCAGGAAATTTTCTCTGGCATAATCCTGAAATTAATTATAGCAGTATGATGACATACCATCACGAAATTTAATGCACATATTTTTTCCTTATGTATGCTGCAAAATAAATATAAAATATCTCAATTTATTAAAATAGATTTCTTTCTCTCGTTTAGCTGCAGAATGTCTGCAAAAAAGCCTTATTTATTCCAGATTGGGAAGATTCTAATCTCAATCTTCAGTGTAGAAAACAACAACTATTATATTATATTTGTGTTTTCAAGTGTTAAGGTCTAAAGACATACCTCACGCAAATTAAATTTACCTAAAATCTAACCTAACTATTTAGCGTTGCGTTGTGATTTATAAGGACCGGATTAGCCTCGTGTTGAACTGGTGATGATCATGAGTAATAATTAAATAAAACATACATTTGTTATCCAATATATATATCTTAATTTTATTAAGTTTCTTAAGTGGAAAAACTAAACAAAATTATCAAACAAAGTAATATACCAAGAATATTAAGAATAAAATGTTCTCTGGGATTTATTGAATAATTAAGTGAATTTGCTACACAATACAAGTAATACCATAATTAATTTACCTCTTAGCACAGCCAACGTACATTACGCGGATAGACTGGAATTTTCTTGAAACACACCTGGAAAACCTGGAGAAGTCAGGGAATTTCATTCTCCTGTTTGAGTGGCAACCCTGGATGGGACACTTGGCTTTTACTGAAGTACTTCTCTGGCTACTCACCAGAGGGCAACCGTGTTGTTACAGTTAGTCCAACAGTTTATGTTAAAGGACTGGTTACATAGCTTTGTTTTTGTGTGTATCATTATGCATTTTATTTCAGTTTGATTATAAATTTACTTTTATTATTTCTTTTTAACTAGCAAGGTATTGAATGCACATTGGGATGTTTCTTGCCATTATGAGATTTTTAGAAACATTAATTTGCATTTTGGATACTTAATTAGCAGCGATTTGAATCACATAGTGGTAGGAAGAACAAAATGTGTGTTCACTATGCATTAATCATCCAGGTTTAGTGTTTTGAATACTAACCTTTTGAAAAGCTCTATTTAAAACATTAAACAGAAAGTGATTAATAGTTTTTGTTTGCCTCATTAATATATTTTTTCAAACCTTAATCCCCCTTTTATAAAAAACATTTTCTCTAGCTTTTACATTTAATTACCAATTAACATGTGATGATGCTAATACCCTATCATTTTTTCCTAGGATAAGATCATCTTTTTAATAAAAATTTCTTTAAAAATTTCTGAATGTATTATATATTTAATTAGCTACAATACAATGCAATAATTAATATTTTAGCTATTAATTTCAATTTGCAGTAGTTATATATATCGCATAGTCCAGTGTATAACGCACACTTTTAATGCAAAAAATAAAATCGAAATGTACAGGTGCGCATTATACATCAGATATAAAAATGATAGATTTAGGAAAAAAGGAGGAAAAGATGAGCATACAAAAATTATATTTTTACTTATATCTAAATGCTGTCTGTTTGAAATGAATGCCATTCCTAATGAACATAAAAAATTTCCTTTTTTAATAACGTGATAAGTTCATCATGTTTGTTTTCCATTATATCTTCAGGCACATTATCAAATTCTGTTTCATCTTCACTATCACTGTTATTCTGATCCATGAATAAGTAAAAGTCTTCCATTCGAACTAGATTGTTAGATATTCTACATTTTTTTAATGACTTTTGAATTAAATCGGGTTTAATTTCATTCCGTGCTTTTATTACCTGCTCGCATAATATTCATAGAGTGGCATGACTCATTTGGTTTCTTTTTTCTTTCTTGCCTTCAATGTTCACTTCAAAACCATGGCTTCAAGTGGCTACAGAAAGAGAAAATATCTAAGTGCTAATTACGTGAATTCATTCAGGTTGGAATGCATTATTACCTCAAATAATAACTCAAAACACTAGAGTAACATTCTTTTGCACATCTGCATTGAATACAATGCATCCTCTTTGCAGAATTAATTATCCTTCAAGTATTTCCCTCGTATTTTGTTCCCCTTAGCACTTCATCAATTTAGTATCCCATTGTTCAAAAGCCTGGGGAAAATCTTCGAATGAATAACTTCAAAAGATTAGAACATCGCACGTGTATCTTTCAGGTTTCTTTATAAAGGAGAGTGTGCATGTTATATCGCGAATATACCTAAAAACTAAAAATGTAGCTTGAAATTATAGGTGCACATTACACATTGGAATATATGGTATATGTTTTATAACTATTTGAAATTGAATTTAGGAAATGTTAATACTTAAGAGAAGTATGTTAAAATTACTTGTAATAAACTTGAGAGGTTTTTAAAATTTGTAATGATATGTAGAAAAATCATACATTTTTAAAAAGGAAAAGACTAATACATACATAAAAATCAGGTAAAATAGTGCATACATAAGAAAGTAAGTAAATTATTATGGATATCCTGGAAGAGGGTTGACTTATCTAACCATTCCCTAAAAAGTCTGCAATAATTTGGGCTTGATCACATTTATATGTATGTATATACGATCAAGCATCGTCATGTATTTTTTCACATTTTTTCATGGGGATCCATGTGAATGGTTTTAAAGAGTTTACAAAAAGAAGGATTTCATTTCAGTTATTTCTTGTGTTA